TCCCTGTGGGGTCTCTCAGAGTACTGTGGTACACAACCCCTCTTTTATCCCTGTACTCCATCACTAGAGAGCACTTCCCCCCATTAGCTAAGGTTCTTGGGGTTCCCATTCTTCTTGATTCACCTATCAGCCACCGCCCAGTACTACTCCCTCTCATTTCCATTGTTTATATGTATTTTGTAATCTGGGTTCAGAGTTTGTTGTTTTACCCAACTGGAACTGTCTTTGTATCCTGTTAAGTCCAACACTCTTTGTTCTACCCAGCAAACAAAATGTATATGCAAGTGCTAACCTAGCTTCTCCTGCCATAATACTCAAAGATAAGTTTGTTTAACCAGATCCTTGTGACTGAAACTCTTCCTCTCGGCTTTTTCTTTATCTCCTTTTACAGGAGATAAAGTATCCTTCCTTTGTTCTTCCCAAATTTTATTTTGCAAGGACACTTTATCCTTGTTTTTCCTTCAATGACTAAAATTGGATAGCAATGCATTTACAAACTGCCCTTCAATTTTGTCTGCCCTCTATCCTAGGCAACCATTTTCCATTACTAAAAGAATTGTCTCACTTGGTCAGACTGTTGATCCAGCTGACAATGGCACTCTGACATCAGTACTCATCTCACCCAGTTTAAATATCCTAATATTTTGAAACCAGATAAAAGGTACCAAGGGTCACTTACAGCAACTCTTGCAATTGTGTTTAGAGTTTAATATAATGATAGGCTTTTAAGGGTAAGTGGAGTATTATTAATTTCTTATGGCAATTTCCAAAAACGGAATCACTTCTTTCAGTTCAGGCCCTCACCTCCTGATAGCACCTAGCCCCAGGACAGCTGAGCATGCAGAACTGCAAACTATCTACTGAAATGTCTAAATCTCAGATGTGAAGCTTATATTGTTGGAGCTTCTGCTTCGCTTCTGGCTGTGCAAAAGATAATATGGCCTAAGTTTTCTCTTGTAAAGCTGAAGAAAAAAACTCCAGTCTGCTTTTGCCCAAAGTATGGAAGTAACTGAGGTTAAGTCTCAAATACACAGTTTCAAAATTCAAATTTACATAAACTCTTATTAAAAGTCATCTGAAATAATAGGGGATTCTCCTTTTGACTTCAGAAGATCAGAGGAACTGACAATTCTTGTTCTTACATTGCAGAACAAAGCTATACTTTGTTAAGTGTTTTGCTCCTTAAATTGTACTACTCAGGTCCAGGAAGGCTCTGGTACAAAGTTTTCTAGTGGGAAAACTCAGTAGATTTCAGGTTTTAGATTGCAAACTAATTCAGATTTCAAAAGCAAGAAGCTCCTTATTTTTATTTGAGGGGCAATGAAGCAAGGGGAGATTACCTGGAATTGAAGTAGCAGAATGAAGTAGACTGTGTAGTCCTTAACAAAGAATTGATATTTTTAGCAAGAATTTGAAGACCTTAGAAACAACAACCATCTATTTTGAGATGCCAATGAATTTGGAATAGCTCATTCCTACTACTTTTTATCTTAAACACATTACCTGGATATCACAGCAAGACCAAAGCTGGATTACAGTCAGATTCATGTCCGATGTCACTGCGCTAACTCTGGGAGATCTGATTACCATGCATACAGGCTTGAGGTTCCATTCAGTCCAGCCCAATAGCAGTAAAGCCCTTCAAACAAAAAGTGGGCAGATAGATGCCTCAGAAATAGCTTTTTTCACTTTCTTATACCATGAAAACTGGGAAAGTAAACTCTACTTAATTGAGCTGGCACCAATCGGAGCTAACTCTGGTGTTCTTCACTAGTGGCAACAGATAAAGTAAGGCTAGGAAAGGAAACAAAGTCCAGACAGGTATGTTGTTATAGGCAGCAGAGATGGAAAGATGTTCTTGCTTCTCCTAGACTAAATCTGCATCCTCCTCTGTTATATTTTAGTTTGGAAGCAGTGACACCTGAAAGGAGGGTCAGGAGAGTGGTGTGCAATTCCACTGGTTCCTTTGACTCTTTTCATCCATAACCTTGACCTTTGGCTCATTCACTTACACAACAGGCAGTTTTTGGAAATTAAATAAAATACTGTTTATGCTAGTAAGTTTTGAGGGGGAAAATGAAGTTTTCTTCTAGCAAAATGTTCTTAGATTCTATTATTTTTTTTTTTTAATCAACTTTCTGAAATCTTATTCCTGCAGTCAAAACTATCCAGAGAGGATGATATTGTGTTAAACTTGAGCCTCCCAGGACTGATTGATTAGAACATGGACAAGATAATTCATAAATAGTAAAAGACTAAACTGGGAACAATAAATATGATCTTCTGCCTGTTCACAGAGTTCCTGGACTCCATTAAAAAAAGTATATAATAATCTTATTAAAAGAAAAACCAAAAAACCAAAAACACAGCCAATTACCTTGCATGTAGCAATGTAAATTTCACCACTAGTAATTAAAATATTGAAATTCATATTCCCTGTTTTCTAATGCATCTGTGCAAGATTAATGTGTGGCAACTAATATTTGCCCATTTAAGCAGAGATTCATGAATCACAGATCACAGAATCACAGAATCACCCGGGTTGGAAGGGACCTCAAGGATCATGTAGTTCCAACCCCCCTGCCTAGCAGGGCCACCAAACACACACATTCAGATCAGGTTGCCCAGGACCCCGTCCAACCTGGCCTTAAACACATCCAAGGACGGGGCATCCACAACCTCCCTGGGCAGCCCGTTCCAGGGCCTAACCACTCTCCTTGTATAGAACTTCCCCCTAACATCCAACCTAAATCTTCCCTCCTTCAACTTGGATCCATTTCCCCTAGTCCTGCTGTTGTCAGCCCTTTTGAAGAGTTTACTCCCCTCGTGGGTGTAGGTTCCCTTCAGGTATTGATAGGCTGCAATGAGGTCACCCCGCAGCCTTCTCTTCTCCAGGCTGAACAAGCCCAACTCCCTCAGCCTGTCCTCATAGGGGAGGTGCTCCAGCCCCCGAAGGGCATTTCCATTTCTGATCTTTTCTTTCTGCTCTCATCGAGTGCTACTAAGCTACCTCAAAAGTGTTAATGACATTTTTGCATGATATTCAGATACAATTTTTGAGGATCAAGAATTAAATCAGATGAATAAAATGGTCAGACTGAAACTACCACAATGATTTTCTTTGTTACATGTATGTGTTTCCTGCACAAGAGAAGAAAGCTCATTAGCAAAAAACAATTTCTTACTAACAAACCTCACTTCAAAAGCTCTTGATCAGGGTAGTTTCACTTTTGATTAGATTCTGTCTATCCTGGGTTGAAAACAGACAAAATTAGAATTCTGTCTTTGCAGAATCCTGGCTTCTAAATTAAAAAAAAAATATATATATATGGTCATTTTTTTAGTACAATCAACTTGAATTCTAGAAAAACAAGTACTATCCATATCTATCAAATTGAAAAGCCTTTAAGGTTCAGTGAAATTCCTTCCTGACATTTCAGGTTTAGCAGGAGGCTAATTAGGCACAGTTTCAACACTGCTGTGCTGCTTTAGTGCATAGCAGGCCAATTGTAAGCTACTTACAAACTTAGCAGCACTAAGAGATACCAGCTTGAGACTTATGGCAAGTTTAGATTGCTTTTTTTTCCTCGCATATTTGCAAAACATACTGAAATTCTGTTTCTCAACATAGACTAATTGGACAAACTTTTTTCAGTGATGTGCACTTAAGGCCAAAACTTAGAAAATGTTGATTTATTTTATATGAAATCTTTTAAGCACAATGAAGATGATAACATCCAGATGTCCACATCCACCAGGTTTTAGGAAAGTTCCTCTCCAGTCTGGTTTGTCTTGGTCTTTACACACTAACTACTACGTTTGTATTTGGACGTGGGTGATCTGAGACAGCCAGCATGGCTTCGCAAAAGGAAATTGTGCCTGACCAACCTGGTGACCTTCTGTGATGGAGTGATGGCATCAGTGGACAAAGAGAAGGCAACTGATGTCATCTACTTGGACTTCTGCATGGCCTTTGACACAGGCTCCCACTGCATCCTTATCTCTAAATTGGAGAGATATGAATTTGAAGGGTGGATTATGTGGTGGATAAGAAATTAGTTGGAAGGTTGCTGTCAGAGGGTAGTTGTCAATGGCTCCGTGTTCAGGTGGAGGCTGGTAGTGAGCAGTGTCCCCCAGGGGTCCATCTTGGGTCTGATATTCTTTAACATATTTATCAATTACACAGATGATGGGACTGCATGCACCCTCAGCACATTTGCTGATGACACCAAACTGAGTGCTGTGTTTGATACAGCAGAAGGAAGGGATGCCATCCAGACGACCCTTGATAAGTTCGAAAGGTGGACCCTTTTGTACATTATGAGGTTCAACAAAGGAATGCAAGATGTTGCCCTTGGATTAAGGTAATCCTGAGTATTCATAAAAACTGTGAGAAGAACTCCTTGAACATAGCCATACTGAGAAGGGTTTAGGGGTTCTGGTTGATGAAAACCTTCACATGAGGAAGGCCAATGGTATCCTGGGTTCCATCAGAAGAGGGGTGGCCAGCAGGGACAGGGATGTGATTGTCCCCCTCTGTTCTGCCCTTGTGAGGCCCCAGCTGGAGTACTGTGTTCAAGTCTGAGGCCCCAGTGCAGGAAAGATGTGGAGCTTTTGGACAGTGGCTTCAGTAACTTCACTATAAAGACAGAAATAGTAAAGGAATGGCTTTCAGTATGAGTTGGTGTTGTCAGCAACTGCGAGACCCCCCCACGGGATGTGACACGATAGGCCCTCTCCCTGCTCTATGATTGATGTGTGGCACGTGCCCTTAGGGGCGTAGACGAAGCACATAGGTTATATAAGCTAGAGTTCATGTGTAATAAACGCCATTTTGCTGTTCGTCATATTGGTGTGTGCGTGCAGTCATTTGGTCCTGGCCTGGTTTTAGGTCAGTACCGTAGGAGGCAATGCAACAAGTTGGAAGAACAAATAAAGCCGAACTATTTACACCATTGCCATTGCCATAAATCTGTAACCTGTTAATTGTTCTGTGATTTAAATAATTAGTGATATCTGTTAATCATCCCTTTCATCTGGATTATATGAAGTAAAAATAAGCACTGGCTATAATTATTTGCAAATGAAATCCACACGCTTTATCCTTGGTTACCCCCATGGCTTTGCATAAGTACCAAGCCCATCAGTACATCCTTTTGACTACATATACAGAATTGCAAGATTAATTTTGAAAAAATAAGAATAATATGTGAAGACATTATTTTTCTTTGAGGTAGGATTCCAGGGAATGAGTATGAAGGCTAACTAGACCTGAGAAAAATTATACTTATAGATTTTCCATTACTTAAAAAAAAAGAAGACAATGTCTCCATAAAAACTCAACACTTATTCCTAGAGCTGTTCTATAAAGTGTGAGAGATGATTTCCAACACAGCAATCTTGTTTTTCACGCAGTTTTCTAGATGTAAGGTTTTCCTTTTTTGCCTTTCACACATTATTTTTTCTCTGTAAATTTATCATTCTTCCCTTTAAATTGCAAATAAACAGGATGAAAAGCGTAACATATCCAAGATAGCCAATGGATCATACTATCCCGAATATTTCTTACTGGCTTCTAGTATCATGAAAATCTTTTTCTCATTTATAAGTGGTCTAGAGATGAATGTTTTTGGAGCTGATGTTCAGCAATTTATTTTTGAGACTTTCAGGCATGTTTTCCACTTGACTTGGCTGACTCAATACCTAGGACAAAACTTGGATTTCTGTTTGGAATATGACAGATACTCCAATTTTTGTTTCAATCTGTTCTCTTTTAGAGCAAAGTTTAATGAGTTCATTTCGAATTAATCTAAAATACAGATTTGAAATTCAGTGTAAAATGTAAAAGCAACTCTCCTGAAGGATTTTGTAGTTTTTGGAAAATGTTTCCTTTTGCATGTGAAGTGAATACACTTCTTTATTTTCACACTTGAAGATCTTCCGTAAGAAAGTGAAACTAGGCGTAATTTTTATCAGTCTATGTATTTCCTTGTCTATTGCTAAGACTTAAATAGTTTGCATTAGCATGGTTGGATACAGACACTTTCTTCTCTCTTTCTTTCACTTCTTCTTTCTTTCTTCTCTCGGGATCCTGCCTTCTTGATAGGATATTGAAGTCCTATCTAGTTTTTTTTCCTGCTGCACTTACGTGGTTTTCATAAAGGGCTTTGTCTGTTTTGATTACTACTTAATATTTTCTTTTTCCCCTCCTCAAGTTGTGACTTCTTGCTTGTTCTCTCAGAAATCACTGTATACTTCTGAATCAAAGCTGAGAGTTTCCTGGGAATTGATTTCACTCTCTCTTCTTCTGAAGAGGCTTTTTAGAAGTGATTACTTTTTCTAGGACAGGCTGCTCCAGTTAAACTCTCTTTTCAGAACTTCCTTTGTTACAGCATTTCAGGTGTTCCAGGATGGTGCAATGTCCGAACATCCTCTGACTGAAGTGGAAGAGAAGACAAGGTACTCATCTGTACAGGGAACACAGCATTTGCTTTGTCTTTGTTTTCTTGATATTTTAATGTATGTTGTTTCTACTCTGTCACTAAACTTTTTTTATCATATTCACATTGCGTTAGGAAAAACAGTCACAAAGAAAAGACTTGAAGGCAATTTTTTTGTGTAATTAAGCACTTGAAAACTCAATTTCAACTTGTCTGCATCAACACATACTGTGATATCTTTACATTTCTAATTTTTTACTGCAGGTCATTCTTCTTCTCTCAGTGTACTGTATAGGACTCCTTGCTGCCCGTGATTAACAGGTCAAATGTTGTCTACTGTGCTTATTGAACAGGATCACAGGGAAGGGAAGATGCCTGTGGGTACAAATCTTCAAACTGAGTCCTATGTATGCTGCAGATCTCACAGTTTACACAGCCAGAATAGAATAAAGAAAACAGAGCTGTAATCACCATTCATTGGTTTAGAAATGTCATGCCAGCCACATTTCAGATGTTGTATGGTATTAATACTAATCAGCATACATTAGCAGCCAGAAATGTTCACAACTGTTCTAACAGCTGAGTGCCTCCGAGCTAAATTGAATTCATCCCTTAGACACCCATTAACACCTCTCCTTCCCATTTAGATAATAGAGCACAGTTGTTCAGGAATGTTTATGAAATGACATTCATTTGATTAATAAGTGACCTTGACTGAATGAGAATATATGCTCTCTGGAGTTTAAAGGATCTCCCCCTTTTCCAGTAATCTTGTCAGGGTTACAGCACTCCAAATCCTTAAAGAACTTGTAGGTGTGCAGTCAGTAATTATCGTGGGTTCCTGGCAGAGGTGGTGGGTTTTTTGCTTTTCTTTTTTTCCATGAGAAATGTGTTTGGGAGAATTGTTTTTCTTTTTTTTTAAACAAAATTTCACATTCACATCCTAATATTCTAATTGTAGAAAATGATAAAGAAATCTGAGAATAGTGATCTGTTTTTAAAAATAAATCAGTATATATATATATATATATTTAGTAGCTTAATCCATTTTGAAAAACTCACTGACTCCAGTGGAACATTCTTATTAAGATCAAATGAAATATTGAAGTTTCATATATTGTTAATTTTATAGGACGTATACCCTAGCTACGATTAATTAAGGATATTGGAAACCTTTGATACAACGGCAGATAAAAAATTAGCTTTGTATAGGAAGGCTTTGTAGAGCTGCATTATAAGAGTTTTTCAATAATAGATTAAACAGACTAAATAATTAAAATGTCATTTGATGGAAGTCAGACAATTCTTCTTTTACTTCAGCGTTACACACTGAACTGTATTTCTGCTCATAGGATCCTTCCTTGTCTGTTCCTTACTTCAAGGAAAACTGCAAACGGGATCTAAAAGCAAATGACAGTTGTTGACTACAGTATTTATTTGCAAACTTCAGTGGGAAGCTGGGTTCAAGATTCTTGGCATGCCTGACTATGCTTACATTCAGATGACTGGAGGAAATTACAGAACCACACCTGGCTTTGTGCTGCAGGAGATATTTGGAATGAGAAGATGCAGCCTCTGCTGACTGTCTCCACCACCAACAACAAAGTCCCCAGGGGATGCTTTTGAGCTCTGCAGCAGTGATTTGTTGTGCCTCTGGCAGAACAGGAGGTCTGAGCTGCAGAATCTCCATCACAGCAGACCCAGGTGTTTAGTGCACAGCCTGAAACCCCCAGTGGATAAGGCAGCAGACACCCACCCCAGCATGTGGAACAGAGCTGGCCTTGGTGGGGAGGCTGCAATGAGCCCAAACTGGGCATTACTGCCTGATTCTGAATACACACTGGAGTGGAAGTCCTCCACTTTGCAAGGCAGCACTGTGAGCCCATCAATGCCCTTGTTCTTCCTTAAAAAATTTTAATGCAAATCCTAATTTAGAAATTTTTTCCCACTGCAGATTTGCCAGTAACTGTTACAAGCTATTTCCTTTCTACAGAACAGCTGCTTATATTCAATCTTATTTAATTGAGACACAAATAGAAGTAGAGATATTCCAAAGCCGGTTTGTAGCTATTTGCATAGGTTAATTTCAGGTTTTTTTTGGAAGAACATTTTCCCTGTTTCACTATTACAACTTTTCCTGTATTATTTATTTTTCTCTCTGCTGCTAGAATTGAAAACTCAATCACATAAGATCACCACGTTGCGGAGATCACTTGTGTGCCTTTTCTAAGGATCTTCCCTGCACTTATCAAGAATCTCCTGCAGTTCACAGTTCAGTGACCATGGTACATGTAACACAATGTTCATCCTTTCCAAGTGAGCAGTGCTCTGCGCCCTACAGCTTAGAGGTCAGCTGGGTCTGTAGAAGTAAGCTACTGCGCTTGAGATTTTAGCAGTGGGATATTTGCCCTCTGGCTGTATTTGTGAACTCATCGCAGCTGTAGCACAGTACTGTGGTATTTCCTGCTCCAGGGATTGCATATGCCAGGCAGAGGTGCTGTGCCAGGGCACTGCAGAGGCAGGAGGTGCCAGACAGAAGCCAAATGCACCTTCAGTTTCTGGTAGAAATCTTGACAATCCTGAGTAAAGCCAAAGACTTCTGCGAAGACCAGGATTTAGCCCTGAAAATATTCAAGAGAATGAGCTTTATAAGTAGGTATGTCTGACAGACCATAAGATAATGAACATAAACATTCTGTTTCAGTCCTGCCAATGTTCAGGAAAATAGGGGTTAATGTAACAAGAGAAACACAGGGCTGCTGTTGAATAACATATGTGGAGTTGTTAAAAGGGCATCAGCACTGTTCTTCCTAATTAGAACAACTGGCAATAGTCCAGGCTTTTGTCTAGCTGCTTGGGTCAAAAGTGTAGCAACAGACTGAATGTAATATAAAATAAACATCACAATGGGTATTATACTGAGTGTAATAATAGTTTGGCATGTAATGCATCATTATCTCTCATTAATTTTCAACTGGCACGATACAAAAAAACACAGGGCCTTGCCATTGAGTTTAAACGTGGCTGGCTCTTGAATTCACAGAATTTTCTTTCA